CGGCGGGTAGAAAGGTATGTGGCCCAGGGTCTTAAGAGACCTGGTGCATGGGGAAGAGAAGGAAGAAACCAGAAAGCGAGCCCCCTCTGTAGGAAATACCGTTGTAGCTTTGTCTCGCGAGCGGGTTTTGGGTGTGCCTTTTTGTACCTGTTTGGGGTTGATGGTGATCGGCGTCTCCATCCCGTCCTGCCCGCGTGAGTCATCCGGAGCCATTGCCGTTATTTGTCTCGCGATTCGGGCGTCCGGTGGAACCGTGGGCGGTTGTTCCAGGGGTTTGATGACCGGCTGCTCCGGGCATCCTCGAGATGGGCTAGTCCGAGAGGCCTTTTCCCTCTCGCGCGTTCCTCCTCCCGGCGTCTCTGCAGGCAGACGTTCTCGCTTGTTTTCCATTCGTATGAGCCTTAGCTTTCTACTACAGCTCTGCACGTGTCCTCCACCGAAGGGAGGACGTTGTGGCGTGAAAGGAAGTTTACACAGAGGGGATGCCAGACGGCGTGCTTTGTGAAAGCAGCCTGTTGGTATTGCAGTCTGTCCTGAAACGTAGACTTTGCCTCGTGGTTGGGAGCCGGGATTCCCCGACCCGCTGTGCGCTTCCGGTGCTCGGGCCGGAAGAGGTCTTTGCCGCTCGTCCGAGAGCGGCTGGGTGTGTTATTGCCCCTGAGACTCACCAGGGCGGGATACTATCGTGGTTTCTGTCTCCTTCCTTTCTGTCTCTGCAGTTAGCTTTCTTCGGAGCGGTACCAAGCTCATCTTCCGGAGAAGGAGCAAGCAGAAGGAAGCGGGCCTGAGCCAGTCGCACGATGATTTGTCCAATGTTGCCGCCAACTCTGCTGCCAGGAAGAAAGCCGGCAGCTTCTCCCGCCGCCTCATCAAGCGCTTCTCCTTCAAGTCCAAATCCAAACCCAAAGCTAGCGATGGCACGACAGCAGGTGAGAACTGAAGGAGGGAGAAGCCCATCGGAAGGATTGCATAGAGATCCTTTTCTAGTCTCTTGTCTTCCCGCTCCGTGGTATCTGTGACCTGCAGTCCAGTTCCTTCCGTCCTTGTCTGAGGGAAGACACCCCAACGCTTTACACCATTTCGGGAGCGGAGGTGGCGAACCTAGGGCTTAGGCTGCTCGTCTGCCTTGGCCTAGCCTTCTCCGACTGTCGTACCCCACCGTGCCGTCCCGGAAAACCCAGGTGGCATGCTAATCCCTGCAGGGGTCCCAGGAGCTGCGGAAGCGACTCTGCCTGTGTAGCTGTCTGGTGTCACCGGGTGACTTCGGGTCCGCAGGTGGTGGTGGAGGAGGGGGTGGTGGGGGGGGGGGGGGGGGGGCGCCTCTCAAGTGGCAACCGTTGGAGGTAAAGATCGAGAAACAGCCGTGTTGGCTACGTTGCCGAGAAGCACGGGATGTAGCCTCGCTCGGCTCTTCCGGCGAGACAGAACGACGCGGTCGCTGGCCGTCTGAACGCTCGCATTGCTTCTGCTTGGTGCAGAGGCCATAACCTGACTGAGGGGTGGGGTGAGGCGATGCGTTCCTGGGCTGTGAGTTGTCAGGGGAACAGGCTGCAGCTCTGCCATTGGAACGGTCTGTGGTTCGGACAGTGCTGAGCGATGCATCAGACGTTAGAAAGAAATTTTTTACAATGAGGGTGGTCGAGCACTGGAACGGGTTGCCCAGAGAGGTGGTAGAGGCCCCATCCCTGGCAACATTCAAGGTCAGGTTGGATGGGGCTCTGAGCACCCTGATCTAGTTAAAGCTGTCCCTGCTGACTGCAGGGGGGTTGGGCTAGATGACCTCTAAAGGTGTCCCTTCCAACCCAAAGCATTCTATGATTCTATGATTCTATGCCTGCTTTGTGCCATGCTGATGAAGGAAGGAGTCTCTAAGAAGGAGGAAGTTTTAACTGCTGGGTGAGTCTTTGGAGAAGCCCGAGCCCTCGCCAGAATGTCTAGTCGGTGCTGTCACCTTGCGACCCGGCCCTCCTTCTGCATCTGTGTTCTTGAGCAGGGAAGGGGCCGTGCCGCATGCGCGCACCGGCTGTTGTACGAGCGGAACCCTTTCCCTCGGGGACGGTTGGGGGTGTCGACAGCGGGGCGCTGGGCCGTCTTCCGGACCTGCGGAGGGCCTGGCCTCTCGCGGTTCTCGCGCCGAGGACCGGCACTGCGCTGGGGATGGACGGCGAGGAATGTGGCAATGCTGGTGAAAGCGCGGTCTGATGTGAAGCCGGAGGCCGCGTGGTGGAGGGAAGCGAGCGTTCACACGTTTTCACTGATGAAAGGGTTTCCTGTAGTAGAAGGAGCCATTCTTGATTGCATCCGGTATTTCCTTTCTTTTAGCAAACCTGGTCCACCGTGTTCAAACGGTGGGCGTTTCTGCAGCGGGTATTTGCAGAGGGAGAGGCGCCCGGGGGATAATTGACCGCTTGCGCGCGAGGAGACTGCCCTTGCGGACGAACGTTTTTCTGGTCTCCTGACACACGTGCATTGTGAATATCCCCAGGGGCCCAGTTCGGATAGCGTAATGATGCTCTTTGGAGAAACGCTCACGCCCTGTCACGGTGCGTGGTTTGAACGGAAGCTCCCGCTCTCCCGTGGGTTGTGCAGTTAAGGAGATGGGGCAAAGGGGAGGAAAAGCCTCACTGCAGCGCGGTCTCCTAGGCCTGACTGGATTCGCTAGCTCTGCTCTCCTGTTACGGTACCTCCTGAGGTGGGGGTCGTCGCCCCACCTTACGCAGGATGCGACCCACTGAAAAAGCAGTCGTTCTCTTGACGGTGCGTGTGAAACAACGCATCGCGTTCCTCAGAAGGACAAATCGGCCCACAATGTGTTTGGTGTGCTGCTGCAAAAGGATTTACAGGCAGGAAGTTCCGGGCGTCTCTTGAAAGTGTCTGGAGGTAGGGAAGGCCAGAGTTGCCTGGGGCTCGGATTGAAGGTGCTGCTGCGTGCCAGCAGGAGGGACTCTCTTTTCCGGTTTTCCTGCCGATTCCCCGCAAGGCTGGGCACGTGTGAGAAATTGGACTGGGGCAGCTGCCTGACCGGGAACCTCTTCTCCATCCGTTTGTTTTGGTCCGGGAGTCTTTCTGTCATCCCCGAGCTCTTTCACGTCTCTTATCTTTTGTTTCTTTCCTCGCCTGCACGGTACTGTGGCTTTGTTTGCGGCCCCGTGTGCTACAGATGTTGGAGCGCTCGCTGTTTCTTGCTGAAAACAGCTTTCCTCTATGCGAGCGCCCGGTTCCTGCTGCAGCGCTGGCGGAAGCTGGCAATCCGCGGCTCGCCTCTAGCGATCCGGCTACCGGTTTGACGTAGCCTTCCATTGCTGGGTCAGTCCTTCGCAGGCGTGCCCTTGTTCCCAGAGCCTCGGGGTTTGGTTCTGGTTTGGCATGCTCTCTTCCGCCATCCCCGCTATGACTCCGCCTCTGTTGCTAACGGTACATGAATATCCTGCACTGCGGTCCGTGGAACGAACGGCGCGTGGGATGCACGATGGTCGGCGCGTATCTTCCCTTGAATTTTTGGCAGCGCTCTTTATCGTGGGCAGTAAATTGCTGTGACAGTTTGCATCTGCTTAGATAGCTTGCAAAGGAAAGGGGTATTGTCAAGTGCTGCCAGAGCGCATCCCCAAACGTTAATTCCCGCACCCGCTCCTCTTTCCTAGCGGAGATGTACCTTCCGCCGTTTCATTGCTTCTCCAAAGTTGTACGGTGTAGGAGCGATGTCATAACCTTTTATCTTCTTCCAAATGTTCTCGGTAAGCCCAGGATGGTTTTCAGGGTGTTTGGGTAAACTGCTCTTTGAGGGACACGGGGATAAGGGGGAACAGCTCAGCTGCGTGCACCGGGAGTTTCTTAGTTCTGATGTGCTCGCGATTAACGTGTCGATCCTTTCTCTTCGTATCCATACGCGGCTTCCTTTCTTGCACGTGCGGTTGTTTTCATCCCCCAAGTAGCAGACGGCTGGTTTTGTTAGTTGCGGCTACGTGCGCACGGGTGACTCTCCCGGCTTCCCGAAGCCACGAACGGTAACGCATCTGCCTTGCGAGGGAGGTGCGATTATTGGCGTGAGAAACGATTCTTCTATCCCGATCTTCTTGGAAGGAAAGGGAAGGTCACGCTGGGCTTTGGCCTCCAGAAAGCGTGAAGACAGAGAGTCCCGGGGAGTTTCTCCCATAGAACTGCTGCTTAAAGAAATCTCTTTTGCATTTAATCCCTGCTTGTGCTGCTGGCTTTAGGACAGAAGAAATGCTCTTTGAAGTCTGCTTTTCCCCATTTAACTCCCTCTGGATACCCGTGCCCTCACCTTGGTGCTGTTGCAGGGTCTGCGGCGTTTCGTAACACCCGGGACGGCGGAGCGACCTCAGTGCACAGCACGGGCCGCTGTCTAACTTTTTAGACTCGAGTGATCTGTCGGTGCCAGGTTGCCGTCTCAGGGTAGGCTCGATATTTGCACCTTGTGAAGTCGGTCCTCGACCGAATACACGGGGGAAGAGGGGCGGCAGAGCGGTGGGCTCGAACGCACGGAGGCTTCCGAAGGAGTTCAACCCGCTTATGAGGGCCTGCATTCCGAATGCCGCGTTTTGCCACCGGCTACGCAAGTAGAAACGGTGACTGGTAAATGAAGCCAAAGTATATGTTTTGGGTTTTGGGGTTGGGGTTTTTTTTTTTGCTATTTTGGCTGAACAGAGTTACTAGAACTTAGCTATGCTCTGTATTTTTACTTCTCTGAAGAAAACAGATTTCTCTAGCTGTAAGTATGCTTGTAAGTATCTTTCTGTCTGGATATATTCTCTCCTCGTGTTTTGGTAAGGCTTTTTAAGGGCCTCCCTGTCAAAAAAGCCCTCGGCCCGCGATGGGTATCCTCTCGAGGCGAGACGAAACAGGCACGGGACGAAATGGAGGGAACCGCAAAAGCCTCAGCGTTTTGGGGGTGCCGTAGGCTTTGGCGTGACAGACATCTGACTGAGGCCTGATACTCGGAGAGGGCGCTCAAAGGCCACGTGTTCGAGGGATCACGCGCGTGCACGTAATTAGAGCGCGCTCTGCGAATGCCTGTACCGGTCACGCTGAGGACGGCAACGGGGCCGATCGGTGGGTTGGGAGAGCGGCCTTACAGCTTTCTGTGGCGTCCGCAAAATTTTTCTTATGTGGACCCCTGTGGGGGCAGACCTGAGCAAGCGAGTCGGACTTCTGCCCCCACGAGCACCCTCACGCTGCTTAGGTAGTTGAGGATGGGTTTTTTTAGGCAGATTGGCTGCAACGGCGGAGAGCGAGGGGAAGCTACTCAGGTAGAGAGCTAGTTAGAAAACAGCGGAGGGGAGCGTAATGAGAACTTCTTCAAACCGATATAAGAGGGCCACGGGCATGCGCCGTTTCTATCCTAGAACTGGGCATGCTGCAAAGCGTACGGCGCTTACGAATGTTTTTGTTCTGCTTTTCTGTCTTTAGCGATGCCACTTCCTTCCTGCGATGGCTTCTCTTGGTTCATTGTTTGCTAAACCTGCAGAGAAGTCATTTCTGGGTAGCTGGCGAGATGCTTGACTGTTGGGTGGCTGGCGTTTGGGTGTTTTGGGGGTCTTTTGCATTGTTCTCCCCTCCCTCCCTCCTTCCCTCCCTCCATCCCCCTAGGTCATGGTAGAGTAACAATCCCAGTGGTGGTCAAACTTCTAGAAAAGGTCTTTGTGCACTTGCGGTAGCACAGCTCCTTCTACAGGCACGACTGCTCCACACCACCTTTCCTTGCTCATACAGGTACCGGACCAAATACCCATGCTGAATTTGAAGTAGCACCCCTCCTTGTGCGTGCTCTTTTGTACTTTGATGCCTTCTCTCTGGGTGGATTATTTTAACCCCAGATTGTTTAGAGGGGGAAAAAAATAGGAACTGTGTAGCTATTTAAGAGATGAGGATAAAATGACCTAATTCAGACTAAATGAATGAAGTTCTTGCACCTTTGTAAATGTCGAAGAAGAATTCCATTGCTGTGTAATGGCTGAACCTGTTAACTTATTAAACCACGTGGAAAACGAAACTTGACCCTGGGTCTGACTTCTTCATACCTGCTGGAGTTGGGCTTTGGCTTTCTAGAAGCTCAGGGAGTTAGCCGATTCGTAGCCGCCTTTTGTAAGACTGTTGTCTCTGAACAGCCCTTTTTGCCAAATGCAGATGCACGGGTTTACGATCCGTAAGATCGTGGCGAGGGCGGTAGCCTTTGCGGTGCTCCTACGAGGCAAGGGATTCCCGAGACGGCGGCGTCGGCCCCGGAAGGCGCGACCGGCGCCGAGACCTTCGGCGGAGCCCGGACGGTACCCTGGCAGGGTCGGTTACGGCTTCTCGGGGTGCCCTCGCGGAGCGGGGAGAGCCCTGCCCTCTCCCTC